TAGAATATCTCATTTATCTTTTTATAATATTGGAAAATAGTGATTACATGTGGAAATGTAAATCTTCTGAATATACTAAAGATTTTTTCTTTCTTTTTTTTTGAGCTAGGGTCTCACTCTGTCACCCAGGCTGGAGTGCAGAGGTGCGATCCCAGGCTCAAGTGATCCTCCCACTTCAGTCTCCCGAGTAGTTGGGACTATAGGTGCACGCCACTACAACCAAGTAACTTTTGTATTTCTTGTACAGAGACAGTGTTTTGCCATGTTGCCTTGAACATTTCACCATGCTGCTCTTGAACTCCTGGGCTTAAGCAATCCACCTGCCTTGGCCTTTCAAAGTGCTAGGATTATAGGCACGAGCCACCACACCCAGACAAGTTAAAGATATTAAATTAATTTCATTTGTTTCTTTGGACTTTTAAAAAAGTAGTTAACTAGAAAAATAAAAATTGGCTGGTTTGTCTGAGCCCAGAGTTCAAGACCAGCCTGGGCAACATGGTGAAACTTCCTCTCTACAAAAAAAAAAATACAAAAATTAGTTGGGCATGGTGGTGTATGCTTGTAGTCCCAGTTATTCAGGAGGCTGGGGTAGGAGGATCATCCAAGCCTGAAGAGGTTGAGGCTGCAGTGAGTCTCAAACTTCTAGGCTCAAGCAACCTTCCTGCCTCAGCCTGGGTGACACTGTGAAAGACCGTGTCAAAAAAAAAACTGGCTAGATGTGATGGCTCATACCTGTAATCTTAGTACTTTGGGAAACCGAAGCGTGAAGGTCTCTTAATCCCAAGAGTTAGCGACCAGCCTGGGCAATATAGTGAGACCTCATCTCTACAAAAAAATTTAAAAACTAGCCATATGTAGTGGCACATGCCTGTAGTCTCAGCTACTGGAAAGGCTGAAGTGGCCTTGAGCCTGGGAGGTGGAGGTCTGCAGTAAGCTGATATCATACCACTGTGCTCCAGCCTGGGTGAGAGATTGAGACTGTCTCAAAAAAACAAAAAAGGCCGGGCGCAGTGGCTCACACCTGTAATCCCAGCACTTTGGGAGGCTGAGATGGGTGGATCATGAGGTCAGAGGTTCAAGACTAGCCTGGCAAACATGAGTGAAACCCTGTCTCTACTAAAATTACAAAAATTAGCCAGGTGTGCTGGCACACACCTGTAATCCCAGGTACTCGGGAGGCTGAGGCAGAGAATTGTTTGAACCCAGGAGGTGGAGACTGCAATGAGCCAAGATTGTGCCATTGCACCCAAGCCTGGGTGACAGAGCAAGACTCCATCAAAAA